AGCCGATTTAAAATCTTTATCGATGGTTCCTCCGTGGTAGATTATAACAGGATAACAGGATGTGGCATTTATGTAGAAACACCAACTGGGGAAACACATGATGCTCTCTTTTCAGGATTACCAAGCAGTATGGCACCCTTGCAGCAGAATTAGCAGCAGTTGCCTGTACAGTAAGCCATCTTAAAGATTTTCCAACCCCATCAGATCTTTGAGAGATAGCAAGAACCATAAACGCTGGAGTCAGAGACAACCCAGTATGGCGCTGGAGGAACACAGCGGGCCAGGCAGCAGAGGAGCGGGAAAGTTGACATTTCAGGTCGGGAAGAAGGGTCCCGGCCCGAAGCGTCAATTTTTCTGCCCCTCTGATGCTGCCTCGCCTGCTGCGTTCCTCCAGCTCCATATTATGTTGCCCCATCAGATCTTTACTCTGATAGCATGTACATTTGCAATAGCCTAACAGATTTTCTCCCACTCTGGGAAGAAGCGATTCTGTGTCAGCCAGTGGGAAACCATTACCTTCAGCACCAGTACTAAAATATATCTTAGAACAGACAAAGGATAGAAAATTTGGGATTATTAAAGTTAAAGCCCGCCACAGATCATCCCCAAAAGGAAATGTCTGCGCAGATGAGCTAGTGAAGTGAGAGGCCCAAGAGGGCAAGCCTTGGCAATCCCGGTAATGACTGAGACTGAGTGCAGTGAAAGTATATCAAACTAAAAATGATCTGATACAAGCCCAAAGCAAAGACAAAGATTTGGTGAGAATCCAACAACACAAATGGCCCATGAGTATAAATTTTGGAAGAACAAAATTCAGATTAAGGATGGAATGCTGTTAAAAGAAGGTAAGTATGTTGCATGCTAGCGTGATAGGAATCAACTGATTTACATGGCCTACAATATATACAGACATCAAAGAAAAGAGAATACCCAATGTCTTAAGGAATAGTGCTGGGAGCCAAAGTCAGAGGACAATATGAGTCACTATGTGGATAACTGTTTAGTGTGTGCACAGAACAACCCAGATTCACATGAAAATAAAGGGGAGGCAATAGCCTAGTGGTATTATCACGGGACTGTTAATCCAGAGACCCAGGTAATGTCCTGGGGACCTGGGATGAAATCTTCCCTTACATCTTACGATCATGAGAAACACACCATCCAGTTCCACAGATTTTACCCCACATATGTTAGTGACAGGGAGATCCCATGAAAGGAGTTGAGGGACTGTTATTGGTTGACCTCTCTAAACCGAACATCCAAGCTCTTAACCACGAGAAAGCTATGGAAAGCAGAATACAAAATGTACCGGCCACTGTCCTAGCAACAGCAGTAAAAATGGGGAAGAAATAAGTACGAAGTAAGGCATACTTTGATGCCAAAATTAGGCCCATTGAATATACAGTAAGAGAGAAAATAACGGTGCGAGACTTCTAATCTGCACATGTTTGTCACTAAAATATTTGGGACCCTATTCAATAATTGATAAAGCAAGTCCATCGGTACACAAAATTTTACTGGTCATTGGTAAAACGGGATAATACGTGAATCAGTTAAAAGCATTTGGGCCTCAAAACAATGTACATCATCATCACCATGTGCTCCTTAACAGCATGGAAAATGATGCTGTGAATTTACCTCATTAGCAGGGGGCTGCTGAAGGAGTTAACACAGTGTGGAACTGGAAGAACACAGCAAGCCAGGCAGCATCAGAGGAGCAGGAAAGTTGACGTTTCGGGTAGGGACCATGAAGGAGCGAGCTCACTTTGTGGGACCAGCTACTTCAGAACTGTAACTGTTACGGAACTGACAATTTCCAGTAACATTGGGTCAGATGATACTGTAAGCCGCACACCACTACCTCAATAGCAACAAATGATAAGACCCAACAGTAATTACTGTCATCTCAATGCCATCAACCCCAATGTCAGCAATTAGTAATGCCTAAGGAAACAAACTATAATCGGTGAAAATCAAAATGTAAAATCAAGCTTTCACCTCAATGGAACAGAAACAGGCTAAGTGAATGCCTGGTTAGAGGCAACATAACGGACTAGCTTGCTGGGAAGTTTGAAAATTTATTTGAATAAATGGAAAAAATGTAAATAAGAGCAGGAATGACCTTGATTTTTCAATTTTTGCACTTTAGACAAGCTACAAAGCTGATTATTGGAATTATATTGCTGGCCTTTGCAAATGAAGTACAGAATTAGCAGTTGGGATTCAGCATTCAGTGAAAGTGGACACAGTGTGTTCAATGTAACAATATGATTCACCGTGGCTATGTGGGAGTTTTGCCACTAACACGATCCACACCCTCTCAGTCAGAGACATGACAGTCCGTGTATTCGTCTGGTCCAGTAATAGGACTCTTAACACTTTGTGTACTTGAAATGATGACTGCGTGTTTTCCTACAAGCAACCCATGCAGACATGGGGAGAATGTGCAAACTCCACACAGACAAAGGCTGGAATTGAACTCAGGTCGCAGGCTTTGTGAAGCACCAGTGCTAACCACTGAGCCACCATATCACCCAAATCAAAAGGCATGGGATGAAAGTAGTAGGAGGGTACTGAGTCGGGTGATCAGTTATGATTGTATTTAATTGCTGAGCAGGCTCAAAAACCGAAATGGTTTACTCTTGCTCCTGTTTTCTAATGTTTTTATGTTTAACCTCAGTGATTAAAAGGGGTGACTCGAGTGGTATACATAGGAAAAAGGAGAGTATTGTATAACAACCAAGAAGGTATTATTCCTAAATGGACTGCCCCATCCAAAACCGCACAATGTGTTCCACTCTATTCTGCCCTTCTGGTGCAGGTCAGATGGAATTAGTGGACATCCACAGGTGGAAGGTAGAGATGCTTGGCATCTTGTGACAAACTTAAAGAGGACTTCAACTTCTGGGTGAATCAGTTTCCTTATCCTAAGCCTCCACTACCTAAACACTTTGTCAGGGGAAGGCAAGTGTTGACAATGGTGCGAAGGTATCTAACGTACTGCATGCAATGAATTGAGCAGATGGTCGAAGAGATTAAGGAACCAATTCATGAGATAATCTATGCAATTGGGAGTTGGATACACAAATCCATCCTGGGTCCATATCATGTCCCACGTGCCAGTAGTAATCCAATGAGTCATTGACGGTAGCCCTTCTGTGGTGCACATGACATACCTTAAGGCAGAAACAACAACTGTCCAAAGTTTCCAAGGTCCTGAAGCAAAGATCATCAAGAATTTCCTTAAATTCTCAAGACCCCTAGGAAGGTTCTACAGGATTTAAAAGGGTGGACTAAGCAAACTTTAGGTGAATATCTACTAAGTTAGATGAAATGAAAATGGAAGAAAAAAAAACACGTGACGTTTAACTACTGTAAAATAATCAATCGTCAGACCATGACCTAATGATTAGAAATGACACTAGCTTTAAATATATTTCGGTGTCTGAAAGAATGTGTTATAACCCATCAGTAATAGCCTGAACTATCATAGTAACGATGAAGTGCTGGAGTCTTGATTTAAAACAAACCATGACATCACATATGATTATGTGGACTTTTCACCAGTTAACAGGATGTGTTTGATCATAGCATTGTATCGTGTAAATATAATACAATTAATTGCAAGACATAACGATGGTGTTACTGAACTTAGCCAAGGCTGAAGTCAAAGTTTACTAAACTTAAACAAAACAAGCAAGTCTTTATGAATTAATTGATCAAGCTGACTATGGAAAACACAGCACATTTGTGATGTTACCACTGGTCAAACTGATCATTTGCTGGAGTCTGGGCAGTGTCAAAGTTTGAATGCATAGCTTGTTTGCATGGAAAAGAGCAGAAGAAAGCTTGCCTCAAAGCACAAGTGGCTAGCTCAGGAGGTCATCTGATCAGCGACTGGAAGTTGAGACACAGCATGCTGATCACCTGTTTTGGTCTGATCCTTGGACATAGGCATATAGACCAGTTCATTATTGATTTTAAACACTGTATGGGTAAGATTGTTGCAGTATTTTCATAGTGTTATGGAACAGGATGAAGGGCATAAACCCGAACGTCGAATTTCCTGCTCCTCTGATGCTGCCTGACCTGTGTTCTTCCAGCTCCACACTATCGATCTCACATGCAATCCAGCAGCGTGGGAAAAGAATCCCGCCAGCTTTTGGCTGCAATAGAGAGGAGAGAAAATAGCTCCCACAACAGCAACCGCCGAAAGCTAACTAAAAATCCTTGATCTGAGAGAACTTGACCACACGCACTCAGGCTGATTCTATTGCTCCAATTTTAAAAGAAACCTAAGGCCTCACGAGTTGTTTATCTTTTCATAGACTGTTCCACACCTGTCCCCCAATCTGCCTCCACAAAGAAACCTAAGCAAAACACACCTCTTAAAGCCACAACATCATCACAGTGTTGTACTTTGCTGTAAGCAAGAACATTAAGTACATACCATTGTTAGAACTGCTTTGGGTTAATGATATTCAGAGTAAACCCAACGGGCTGGGTAAAGCACATATAAAATTCTACATGGCCACCAATAATCTCTCTTCCAATGTCAATTAAATAAATTAACAAGTAAGCTGCTTTAGTAATGTGCAGAAGAGACTCTTTTGTGTAAATTACCTGCAACATTTTCAATATTACAACAGTAATTGTAGTTCAAAAGCATTTCATTTGTGGTGTTTTACCACTTTATGAAGTTCAGGGCTCATGATTTACATGATATGAGTGCAAGTTCTTGCTTTCTCTTTTCACTGTAGTTGAAATGAATGCTAACATAGGAATAGATGCATTAATTGCTCACTAAGTAAATATGCTGATAATTGAGACAAAAATGTTTCAGGAAATAAGCATTTATCAACACAAAACTGCAAATACTTGTTAACCCTCAGGTTCAAAGTTACCACTGGGGGTTTAAAAATACTTTTAAAAATACACATTTAATAGCACACAAACTCAATGTATGAAACTACACACTCAAATCAATAAAAATCTCCTACTGTAGCCTTTAAATCTTCATTCTGTTGTTCTATTGTTTTCACGATATTCTCCAAACTTTCATCTCCTTCTGGAATACTGACGTCATCATCAACAGGAATCTAAACAAAACAAAAATACAGACAAAAAAAAACAGAAAATCATGGAAATATTCAGATCAGGTAGTAGCTTTGGACAGAAAGATAGAGTTAACATTTCAAGTTGTGAATTTTTGTCAGATTGAGAAAAAGAAACATAGATTTGTTGGATATACAAGCTTCCCTGGAGAAGGGTCTTATCTGACACTTTTAGAATTTGTCCTGTACACAAGAAGAGCCTTACAAAATTTCAGACAACTTAATGTCTCCTATTGAAGTCGCCCAGGAAAAAAGTGGGCATCTCTGATCACTCTCTACCCTGAGCCCCTCCCAACTACGCTGCCATTATTGAAAAACCTGCCTCCCAATACAATTTCAAAATCTCAACTTTGACCCTACTTTCTTCATGACATTTCTGCAGCTACTGATCTGCTCAATCACATTCTGACCTCCACCTTTGAAGCCTTTGTCCCCATTCAAACAATACTCTTACGCCTTGGCCATTTCTCCAAAAGGTCCTGGTTTTCTGTTCCCCTCAGCGCAAGGAATGCACATTGAACAAATATGTCGGATAGGTTTACCCATCTGTAGCGAGATGTAAGCAGGTCACATAAAGCATTACCAAGTCCTGCTCTCAGCTCCAAGATCATGTTAAAAAATGAAGATAACATCTAGTTTCAATACTACAAACCCTTTTCTCCTGTCTCTTCCCCCCAATCTTCAAAAATTGAGGATAAATTAATGAATTATATCAATATTAGAAAATTCACCTTTGTGCCATAATATTCTTTCACAAAGGCTTCAAAATTACGTAAACGTTCTTCAATTTCACACAATTTCAAGATGGTGATGCCGACATGGTAGGTAGCGTTTGAGCTCCTGAGCCCATGCAACATCCTTTTCTCTCTCTCCTTTTCTTTTTCTTTTCTTTCCTCATCTTCAAGGCCAGAGGTGTGTTGGCAGGGCAGCGATTACAGTGTCAGTGTTGGCAAGGAAGCAGAGCCAGAGTCTCCTGGGGTATCGACATCGTCATTGCTGTATGAGGTGTGGGGACTCCTTGAGACCTCAAACATCTTGCAGAAGCCCTGGAGCTATGTTTGAGAATCAGTTTAAACAAAAGATGAACTTGATTTAAGTAATTTCTTTTTATTCTTTTTGAACCTCAAAATGGCACCAGATAGTGGTGCCAAAACACTTTTCACTGTATGTTCCTAAATATATGTGACAATAAAATGATTCGTTCATTCATTCAAACACAAAGAATATTGATTACTGCTTTTGTTTAAAATTGCTGTGTGAATGGGAAATTTACACAAACATATGGAGAAATTTAAACCACAAAGATGAATCAGCTGGGAGCAGGTGGTAATCAAAGTAAATGAATTTTGGATTGCAAGTACGACCTGGCTTGGTTTAATGTTAATGGTGGCCTGTTTGGCCATGCATGAGTAACCTTTTAAGTGTTATAAGAACTTTCATCATCATCATCATTGGTGGTCCCTTGTAGACGAGGATGACTGTTTCATGGTGAGTTCATAGGTGGCTATACAGTCCGATGTGACTTCTGCAGACTCTGTCAAAACTGGGGCAGAATGTGGTCATGGGAAGAGGTGGTTGCAGCGTTGGTATGGTAGCGAGCTCCTTGTGCTGTTTTCTTTTCGCTTCCGCTTTATCCCTGACGGCAAGTGTCAAGGTGCTCGACGCCTTCCCAGATACTCCTCCTCCACTTTGGACATTCTTGAGCCAGTTATTCCCAGATGTCAATGGGAATGCCACACTTCACTGGTGAGACCTTGAGGGTGTCCCTGAAGCATTTCCTCTGTCCACCTGGGGCCTGCCTGCTGCTTCAGAGCTGGGAGTAGAACACCTGCTTTAGGAGTCTCGTGTCAGTTGTACAGATAATATGCCCAGCACATCACAGCCAATCAAGGGTGGTCAGTGCCTCGAAGCTGGGATTGTTGGCCTAGTCAAGGACGCTGGTGATGGTGCATTTGTCTTCCCAAACTCCGGGCCTACTGCAGCCAGAAGTCCCTACTCCAGAATAATATATTTATATATTTAATAAATATAATATTTATTTAAATAAACTCCTACCAGCGCAGTAATTTTACACACTCCCCCCACCCGTAGTGTTTGAAGTCGCCGAGGATGATTCATTTGTTCACTGCTGGGACCCATGGGAGAGATTGGTCAAGGCTGGAGTAGAATTCCTCGTCCTCGGTTGCTGCATCAAGTGTTGTTGCATACGCACTGAATACCGTGTCATTCTGGTTGCAAGTAAAGATAAGTCAGAGTGTCATAAGGTGTTCGCTTATTCCTTAAGGGGAGTCTTCGAGTTGGTCCACCAGTTCGAATTTGGTAGCGAAGCTGACTCCATGGATGTGGCGCTGATCTTCGGCCTTGTCTTTGCAGAAATAGGTATAGCCATTGCCTTGGTCTTCGAGCTGTCCTTCCTCTGTCTGCCAGGTTTCACTCAGGCCGGCAATTTCATTATCATTGCGACCAAGTTCCCGGGTGATAATGGTGGTATGGTGTTCCAGTCTGTCACTGGCGGGACTGCGTATAGGCCAACTGATGTTCCAGGTCCCAAACTTCATCCTGAGAGTGTGGAAGCTGCATCTGCGAGAATACTTTTAATCAGCGGAAATGATTGCACACAGGCAATCCGTAGTTCAGTGATTTAACAATCACAGACTAAGCACCAGCACATGATAAGCACAATAGCAGCAACTGTGCTGTCTTTCTTGTCCTCTCCCCTTCCTCCCACTCTTCTCACTTTGAACCTTGCACTGCCATAGTGGGAGCTGCTGCTGTTTGTCTGCACTCTACTGCAGGCCATCTCCAGTTGTCTTGGATGACCGTCACCAATGGACCAAGACTTTGTATTGCTAAGCCCGTGTAATAGCCTGTGTGCAATCATTTCCGCTGATTAAAAGTATTCTCGCAGATGCAGCTTCCACACTCTCAGGATGAAGTTTGGGACCTGGAACATCAGTTGGCCTATACGCAGTCCCGCCAGTGACAGACTGGAACACCATACCACCATTATCACCCGGGAACTTGGTCGCAATGATAATGAAATTGCCGGCCTGAGTGAAACCTGGCAGACAGAGGAAGGACAGCTCGAAGACCAAGGCAATGGCTATACCTATTTCTGCAAAGACAAGGCCGAAGATCAGCGCCACATCCATGGAGTCAGCTTCGCTACCAAATTCGAACTGGTGGACCAACTCGAAGACTCCCCTTAAGGAATAAGCGAACACCTTATGACACTCTGACTTATCTTTACTTGCAACCAGAATGACACGGTATTCAGTGCGTATGCAACAACACTTGATGCAGCAACCGAGGACGAGGAATTCTACTCCAGCCTTGACCAATCTCTCCCATGGGTCCCAGCAGTGAACAAATGAATCATCCTCGGCGACTTCAATGCCAGAGTCAGCAAAAGTGCAGACCTTTGGGATGATGCAATCAGGAAGAGGGAGTAGGGAAGCAAAACTCTAATGGCACTCTTCTCCTGACCAAATGCTGTAAACACAACCTTCTCACCACCAACACACTGTTCTATCAAAGGGACAAATACAAGAAAACATGGCAGCTCCCACGCTTCAAACACTGGTACCTCTTTGACTATGTCATCATCAGAGCAAGGGATTGGAAATATGTTAAAATCACCCGGGCCACGACAGGAGCCAAAAACAGCTACATGGACCATCACCTGATCCAAGCCAGGATCAACATAAATATAGCTCCGCTGCAGCAGAGAAACAGAAGCAGTATCACAAGGTGTTCATAAATTAGGCACTCAAAGAGTGAAAAAGATAGTCTCATACAACCAGCTCCTCTCCACAAATCTAATGACTCTCAGCGACACCAAGTCGCAGGATTCCAACAGCCTCTGGTCCATCTTCAAGGCCGCCATCATTAATGCCTGTAAAAACTCAGGCAGACTCAGCAAACATCAAGGCTGGTTTGATGAGAATGATCAGGAGATCCAAGAACTGATAAACTGGAAGTGCACAGCATTTCTGAGTATAAAACAGCAACTGCACTCAGAAAAGAAAAGACAGGTTTACAGGCAACTGAAGGCCGAGGTTTAACAACGAACCCGCAACATAAAGAACAGGTGGTGGGTGGAGAAAGCACTGGAGGCCTAACGAATGGCCGACAGCCATGATGTGCAGGGTTTCTTCTGTGCTGTCAAAACCACTTATGGACCAAACACCCAAGATTCCACCCCACGGCTGGCCAAGGACAGAGTGACTCATATCAAAGACAAAGAAGCCATCAAACAACGCTGGCGGGAAGCACTTCAGAGACCTCCTCCACCATGGCTCTGTCATCGATCCAAAAATCCTTGACCACATTCTACAGCACACTACACTCCACCAGCTCAACAACACTCCAGTCCTGCGTGAAGTAGAGAAGGCCGTCCGGCAACTTAAGAACAACAAGATTGCTGTAGCAAACGATATCCTTATCGAGTCTTTGAAGTGTAGAGACAAAAAACTCCTGACACAGCTACATGACTTTGCCTGCCTTATCTGGAAGGAGAACAGCATCCTGGGAGAGCTCGGAGATGCTACAGTTGTGAGCTTTTTCGATAAAGGGAACAAGTCCAGCTATGGTAACTATAGGGGAATCTCCCTGCTGTCAACAGTTGGAAAAGTCATCACCAAGGTCCTCCTCAACCATCTCCTCCCTGTAGCCAAGGAATAAGAACTTTAATTAGTGCAGGTATGAAAAATTTCCATGGCCATCACATCCTGAGGTGGGACTTTAACACAGATTCTCTGTCCCCGAAACAGGGACACTACCACTGTATTACATTATCTCCTAAAACACTTGGCAACGATGTACGGCTTCTCATATCCAAGTTCCTTTCACGTGACTTTCCACGTTCAAGTACTTCCCACCATTGCATGTTCATCTCACTTCAACTTAGCCACAGAATGCCTACTCAACTGACAGTCAACTACCCTCACAATCTGTTTGCCGTAGCCAGAAAATCAGTATGAACAATCAGGATGACAGGAAACTCACACTTTTAAGTTTCCCAGCCACATCCTGTTCTCTTCCCATGTTGTCAAGACCAATGCATTTTGTTCTATCCACACTTTACTTCCAAAACATGGCAGCAATTTAAACTGTGAGAAACAGTAGACATATTTTCTTGTGAAGTGCTATGTTTTTGTTTCCGAAGAGAGATTACATTTGAGATGAAGCACCAACCACTATAATTGATAGCTTTTGAATACTGTAGCGTACTTTTTGAATCTTCTCTTATTTTATTAAATTATATTATATTAAAGGAAAAATTCAGAACCATAACTATAATTTCACCGGAAAATAAGTAATTCCAAATCAATATTTACCGTAATGGTCTCCTAGAAAGTTTAATTCATTTTAATTACTCAAGATGCAGTGTCAGGATGTAAACAGCACTGGCCTTTTAATCAGCAAAAAGATGTGCCAAATAAGGAAGGCAAGCATGGAGAGATTTCAGCTAGAAAAACAAATTTAGTAATGCCATGATCATGCATTTACCACTATCAAGCTTTTTGTTGATGAAAAATTATGGCTGAAGGTAGCCATAGAACATAAGTGAAAGTTTGATCATTGCAATTTGGATGCCGATGGACAAGTAGCAATAGGTTGACCTGGTTTGGAGTTCGGGGTTTTCAATTTGTTTCGATAAAAACTTAATTAGAAAACTGCTAAGTAATGGTTTGACTTATTCTAAAACTTCTCACTCTCTTCACTAAGTTTAGAAGATGCAGACAATGTACATACAAAAGCTACTTACTCAATTCAATTCCAAGTTAATTACTTGACTTTCAGTCAAATTGTGGGTAACAGTCTATCGTAACTAGGGTTTGGCTTTAATCACTTCTGATCATAACGAGTAGGTAGTTTTCCTCCATTTGAAAATCATGACTGTGAAAGTAGATTGCAGCTACATTTCTGTAAGTACACCATCAATTGGTAAGATTCATGATATAATGGGAGGTCTAGATGGACATAAAACAACCACTTCCATGCCTCTACTGGCTAGAATGTGAAATAGAGCAACAACAAGATAACTAAAATCTGCCAACGTGTAAAGACAACCCCGCTTTAGAGACGTGAAACAATTCTAGATGGAACATTGCTGCCGGAGCCATCACCAATGTCACAGTATTCATCACACGCTGGGGTAATGATTTCCATAGGTTTATGACTGTTTGGGAAAAGTAAGCCATCTTAGTTCTGCTTGAAATCCAGTTTCTGTTTGAACTATGACCTCTAGTTCTTGACTACCTTACAACAGGAAACATCCACTCTGCATCAACTTTGTCAGTTCTGTTTAATATCTTAAATACCTCAAATAAATCACCTCTCATTCTTCTAAACGATGGAGAGTGTAGGTCTAAACTGCTCAATTTCTCTTCGTAAGACAAACCCCTCATCGCTGGAATCAATCTCGTGAAACTCCTTCAAACTGCCAATGCAACTTAATCCCTCCTCAATTAAGGAAACCAAAACTGAGCACAATAATCACTAATGCCTTATACAGTTGCAGCATCACTTCCCTACTTTTACACTCTATTCCTTTAGCAATAAGTGGCAAATTCCACTTGACTTTCTTATTACCTGCTGTACCTGCATACTAGTTTTCTGTGATTCATGCACGAAGATACCCAGATCCCTCTGCACTGAAGCACTTTGAAGTTTCTAATCATTTAGTTAATAAGTTGTTTTTTCTCCTTCTGACCAAAATAGATAACCTCACACTTATCCACATTAAATTCCACCTGCCAAATTTTGGCCCATTCACCTAACCTATCCATATCCACTCGTAAATTTTCTATTTCTTGATTGCAACTTACTCTCCCACTTATTTTAGTATCATCTGCAAATTTGGCTATAATTACCTTCTATCCTCGCAAAGTCATTAAGATAGATAGTAAATAATTGGGGACCGAAAACTGATCTCATTGGCACGCCACTAGTTAAACATTGCGAACCAGAAAAAGACCCATTTATCCCAACTCTCTGCTTTCTGTCAATTAGCTGATCCTTTATCAAAGCTAATATATTATTCCTAAACCCATGTGATCTTACCATGTGTGTTACCCTTTTGTGTGACATCTTATCAAATGCCTCTGAAATCCACCTGTTAGATTTACAGGATGCCCATTATTCATGTTGCTTGTTCTATCTTCGAAGAACCCTAGCAGACTCAATTCTAGTCAAACACAATTTACCCTTCATAAAATCATGCTGATTCTGAGGGATTGTGTTTCGATTTCCCAGATGCCCTGTATTATTTCCTTAATAATGGATTTGAACAATTTCCCAATGAACGATAGTACGCTAATTGGACTATACTTCCATACTGTCTGTCTCTTTCCCTTTTTGAATAAGGATATTATATTAGTATTTTTCCAGTCTAATTGGGCATGTCCAGCAGCCAAAGAATTTTGGCTTGTTATAACAACTGGATCCACTATCTCTGCTACCACTTCCTTTAAAACCCTAGGATGTAGGCCATCAGGCCCTTGCAACTTGTCTGCTTTCAATCCCAATAGTTTGCACACTACTTATTCCCTAATGATGATGCCTGTTCCATGCTCTTTTTCTATAACCTCTGTATGATCTGTTACTATTGGCGTGGTATTAGTGTTCTCCACTGTGAAAACTAAGGCAAAATATCGATTTAGTGTTCTGCCATTTACGTTCCCCACTATTAACACCTCAGTCTCATCCTCCAAGGAACCAACATTCACTTTAGCTACTTTCTTTCCTTTTACATATTGATAGAAACTTCTACTATCCATTTTGCTAGCTTTCTTTCATAATTTCTTTGCTCTTTTTACTATTTTTTAGGAACTCATCGCTGATCTTTAAAACCTTCCCAATCTTCCAAACTGCCACTGATCTTTGCAATATGGCACGTTTTGGTTTTGCTTTCATGTTCTCTTTAACTTCCTTGCTCAGCTGTTGATATTTATTCTACCTTTTATAATTGCTCTTCTTCTCTGGAATATACATCACTTGAGAGGAATTGAATACCTCCTTAAACATCTGCCACTGCTCATCAACTGTCCTACTTTTTAGACTTCATGTCCAGTCCACCACAGTCAAATCTGTCCTCATTCCTATACAATTATCTTTGTTTAACTCCAGAACATTAACGCAAGACTCATGTTTCTTGCTAGAATTTCAAACTCAAATTGAGGGCATGCTAACATAACGTGCTAAAATAACAACAGCTAAAGTATAATGAATATTTACAAAAACACTACAAGAAGTTAATTATGCAAACAACATGACAAGTTTTATAACAAAATCAAATAGTCAAGAACACATCTAAGGTGCAACCATTTCTAAGTTACTACCACAGTAGAAGTCTTTCAGGGAAACAGAGTTCCACAATAGCTTTGGAAAATTTTTTACAAACCAGCATTTCATAGATAACTCTTCCATCCAAACCTAAAGATTCTGAAGAGTAGGACCTTGTGCTGCGAATGCCCATTTAGAAGAAGTGAAAAAATATAATATGGTTAGAAAGGTTTGATTTGAAATAAACCAAAACATACTGTACCTCTTCATACTGGTAATCCCCTTCACTTTCTTCTGTTATAGTAACCTCTGTATTTGAGTCAAGTTAAGCATCATACTACTACATCAAGTTAACACTTCTTCAACGTTATTCATCTTAACTGGATGTCAATGTAATTTGTCGAGATAATAAATTACTATTCACAGTCTAGACAGGTAATTGTAGCATACTGTAATAGATGCACAATATAGGCATCTTGCAAAAATTGTCAGAGGTGCAAACCTCAATAAAGGCAACATGTATATTTTGGAAAGTAGGCGATAAAATGGGTTGATAACATGATAACAATACATACAGACTTCAATAAATGGGTATTTGTCTAAGCAAAACAGTTCCCCAGTCTTGACCGTTTGATAGACTCTACCTTGATTTTTTCAAACAACTGAGCTTAGATATTCTCAGCTGCAAACATCTCCTGTACGGTTCTAATCAAGATTTTTTAGCCTGGAACTTACAAAATAAAAGCCTTACACTGAGGTAACCTCGTTTTTAACCTTTCTGAACTAACTCTTATCTCTTTAAAAAAAGTTTCATATATCTAACTCCAAGCAGAACTTGAGCAATCTAAAAAAAAATTTCCAAGCAAAAAACAAATAAATAAATTCTGACTTTCCTAAAACAGAAAGCGAGCAAATACTCCAGAACATTTCATTGTCCGCTCGTAAAACTCCCACAACACAAACAAATTTCCATTTTCACATCAGGGACTCCTTCTCTCACACTTTTTTAAAAAAAGTTAGCTTCAGAAATACTGGCAGTTAGCAATTAAATTTCCTCATATACACATAGATCAAAACCCATATGCCACTAGTTCAAAATCTAAACTCTAAAACAAATTAAATTAAAATATATATATAAAACACATACCTCACATCACAAACACCCCCCAAATGACAAATAAAAATTACGAGTATTTTTGTTACCCATTAAAAATTATACCTACTCTATTTCTATGTCACAGGAACAGTAGTAACGTATTGACATTATACATGCAACAAATTACACAGTGACCACATTTTATGTAAGACCATGAGCACCACAGCACTTGGTCTCTTTCACAAGTGCTCCTGATAAAGCACCCGCGCCTGCATTTTCTTTTCGAAGTACATGAATGACTTTCAAATTATACATTTGGAGAATTAAACTCCATCAAAATAATCATAAAGCTCTTGTCCTGAAATTATTTGAATAAAATCAAAGGATTGTGATCCATATAAACAACAGTATCCTACATGTTGTTGCTGATGGTTATTTCAAAATGATGTAGTCTATTCAAGATTCAGTATCTCTTTCTCAATTGTTGAATATTTTCATTGATAAATCATCAGTTCATTTGAAAATTAACCATCAGGCCATTTGATCCCTATAATGTCAACTTCCAAGAAAACAGCCCCCACAGCAATGTTGCTGGCATCAGCCAGTTTTTGAATTGTTTCTCATAATTTGGTGCAGTCAAACTGGTGCAACTTGTCAGCAGCATTGCCTCTTTTTTTTCTTCTGTGTAGACCTTTAAGTACCACAGCTGCAAAGCTATGATCTGCAATGAGTGGAACATCATTTAACAAATCTATCCAGGTATTATAAGCCACTAATTCTTTGATTCTATCAGTCAATAAAACTTGCCAATATCCTTTCAGAAAGTCCATTTTTTGTGATGAATCATTTGTATTCAATTTGTTAATACAGTCCTCCAAACTTGGAATGGGAAGTCCATTTTCAATGCCACATTGTTGCAAAATCAATCAACACAGAATCTTTGCAGCTCAACAGTTTTTGCACCTATGTGAACCCACTGGATCAAGTCCTATAAAGATGTTGCATGCCCTACATTAACACTATGAACAGTCAAAACTGTTTTGCCCAGCTTATTCCCACAATTTGATTTACGATTCTGTAACAGCCTTTGTAAGTCAACAACAATTATCTGGAAGTTAGAACCTTCATATTATCCAATCTGATTGCTAGAGAGTTTAAGTTTCTGATTTATTCTCTAAGGGTTCTGATATTTTTAATTCACTCCTTATTTCTTTTTTTTTCTTTATTCTTTCATGGGATGAGGACATCGCTGGCTGGGCAGCAGTTATTGCCTATCTCCTATCGCCCAGAGGGCAGTTAAGACTCAACCACATTGCTGTGGGTCTGCAGTCAAATGTAGTCCAGACCAGGTAAGGATGGCAGTTTCCTTCCCTAAAAAGACATTAGTGAACCAGGTGAGTTTTTCCGACAATTGACAACGGATTCACGGTCATCATTAGATTCTTAATTTCAGGGTATTTATTGAATTCAAATTCCACCATCAGCCATGGTGGGCTTTGAACCTGGGTCCCCGGAACGTTATCTGGGTCTCTGGATTAATTGTCCAGCAATAATACCACTAGGCCATTGCCTCCCCAGTTGATGTAATCATCACTTCCAAGTACACTTTTTTGCTGACTATAATCCCTGGTATAATACCTCTAATATGTTAACATGACACACTTGCTGATTCCTCCTTCTGTTTGGATTAGTCACTATATAATACAATGTTTGAGTTTCTTTCTGATTTGAATAAGACTCAGTGAGCTTTGCTTTTAATGGTTCCCCAGAGACAGGTAACTACACAAATACCTTGAAGTATTTCAAACTTAAGCCTTGTTTAAAAGCTCTGGTTTGCATTGTCTATTGAGCACCCTTGAAATGCTTTTAGGCAACTCCCATTCTTTAATCAGTTTTTCTCTGGAATCTTAAACATAAGCTGGAAGCATAGTCTCACCTTTTGGTCGATCAATTTTTCTTTAATTGATTTAAGTGGTTCTTCACCGGCTAATGGCAACTTATAAGGATTTTACTGTATTTCACAAATACATGTTACAATAAATTACTATTATTATTAATAATTAGTTTAAAACCTTCTTTACAGTCCTAGTTATTCAATTTGCCAGGATACTGGTCCAGTGTGGCTTAAGTGACATCCATGCCACTGGAATAGCTCCCTTCTATGCCATACTGGTGCCAGTGTCCCATGAACTGAAACCCATTCCTTCCACATCAATCATTGAGCCACGGATTTAACTCCTTGACTTTATTTACCCTATGCTAGTCTTCACATGGCTCACGCAGTATTCTCAGGATTACTACCTTGAAGGTTTTACTTTCTAATTTAGTTCCTAATTATTCAAAATCTTTCAGCCAAATCTCCTTTCTAGTTGTATCAACATTCTCAATACCAACGTAGCCGACGACAATTGGATCCTCCCCCTCCTACTTCATGTTCCTCTCCGCCCTGAGAAAATATCCTTAACCCTGGCACCAGGCAGGCAACACAACCTCTGAACTCACACTCACAAACAGTATCTATGCCCATACTGTCCCCTACCACTACGATGTTGTCTTTCTCCACTTGAATGGCTCCATGTACCACTGTACGATGGTTAACCTTCCTTAAGTCCCTGTTCTCAGCCACACAGCTCACAAGAACAAGAGGGGCTAAGGCAGCTCAAAAGCTACCACTGGGTCCCCATATCTGCCTCACCTGCAGTCTTAATGTATACATTACATAATATATACATCTACCAAATGTAAATGCAAATTTAAATATGCATAATTATTCAACTACATTTTAAGAAAACAATACATTGCCATGGCAGATGAGTCTTCCTGTTCCTGATCACGGAGCAATCTGAATTACCAAATCTGAGCGATGTGGCCATCACCTGGAACAAAGTGTCCAGGTACTTTCCACTCCCTGATGTGGAGCAATATCTGCAAAATTCTCTCCCACTGATACTTCAACCAATTGTCCAGCTTTATTACCTACAATTAAGTCTAGGGCCACCCCCTGTCCTGTAGGATTTCCTACATACTAGTTTAAAAAGCTGTGCTGGATGCATTTAAAAATTCTGCTCTTTCTAAACCTTTCACACAATGACTACTGCAGTCAATGTTGAGGAAGGTGAAATTCCCTCCTATCACTACCCTTTTACTTGTACACTTCACTGAAATTTGCCCACATATCTGCTCTTGTATTTCTTTTGGACTGTTGGGTGAATACGGTACACTCCCAGCACTGTGACTCTCCTTTTTGGTTTAGTGTTATATACAGGCTAGTTTAGTGAGGGCATAATCTTAAAGTTAGAACTAGGATATTCAGGACTGATGAAGGGTCCCAACCCAAAAGGTCAACTTTCCTGTTCCTCTGATGCTGCCGGACCTGTTGTGTTCCTCCAGCTCCACAGTGTATCGATTCTGACTTCCACCATCTGCAGTTCTTGCTCCTACAGGCCATTTGGCTCCTCGAGCCAGATCTGGCATTCAATAGGATCATGGACAACCTAACTTCCCTCATGTTTAGAGATAGTAGGAACTGCAGATGCTGGAGAATCTGAGATAACAAGGTGTAGAGCTGAATGAACACAGCAGGCCAAGCAGCATCAGAGGAGCAGGAAGGCTGACCTTTCAGGCCTAGACCCTTCTTCCTTTTTTTTTTTTACAAACAATAAAAAACAGGAGAGGTCCTTTGCAGGTCTGGGAGAGGGAGGCTCTGAGCTGGGGTTGGCTTGATTGTAGTGCCAGGAGATGCCGGCGCATTGCTGCGAGTGTGTGTTTCAGGAGTCGCAGGGAGAAACGCTTCTGAAGGATCTCAATGTTCTGAATGTAGACATTGTCACGGATGGGGCCAAATTGGGAAGGCCTGAATGTGGACTGTAGTCCATTGGGGATGATCTGGTTCCGTAGGCAGGTACTAAGAAAGGTGATGTGGCTGTAGTACCTGGTTTGCTTCAGGACGTGGTCGAGCAGTTTCAAGGCCGAAGAGATTACAAAAGAGTTGCAGTGGGAGAGAGATCCACTGAGGTTTTTCCGGAGGGAGGAGGGTAACTTCTTCAGGGTAGGCATCCTTAGAAGAGGCTTCGCAGTGGGGTTAAAATTGTTTCAGAGATAGTAGGAACTGCAGATGCTGGAGAATCTGAAATAACAAGGTGTAGAACTGGATGAACACAGCAGGCCAAGCAGCATCAGAGGAGCAGGAAGGCTGACGTTTCAGGCCTAGACCCTTCTTGTCTCATGTCTTCCCTCATGTTTACTTTCCTACCCTTTCCCTGAAACCCTTAATTTCCCAACTGATAAAGAATCTCTCTTAGCCTTAAGTATACATGCTGTGGCAAGGAGTTCCAAAAACAGAGAAGAAACTTCTCCTTATCTCTTAAATTATCTTAATTGGTCTTAAATTGGTTCCCCTTTATTCTGAGACTACACTCTCTGGTCCTAGACTCTCCTATGCAGGTAAACATCCTCTCAATATTTACCCTATCAAATCTCTTAAGAACCCTGTACGTTTTGATGAGATCACCTTTGACATTTGTTTTAGAAGGATTCTTTGACCTCGCTTCTATTTAAAAAAAAAACCATACACAGAAGTAACCAATATCCTCCATTTTGAAATCAAAATTCTTATATATTTAAATTATATACCTTTCATCACAAAATTACAATTATAATCTGGTCCCAATGATTTGGAGTTAATGACAGGCAGGCAGAAATTACATTGTTGTGTGCCAGTTATTAATATCAAGTTATTGGAATCAGATACCTCAAATTTTTCAAATTAATCCTTGAGTCAAGCATTTTTAGTCCATTTTCCCCCTTATCCTTTCCCATAACTAACCTCAATATTATGATACCAACATCATTAATCCCAAGACGCAACCTGTCTGTAAACCACTTCATTTCCCAGGACTATGCTTACATATTTTGATTTCAAATTTCTACCAAATGTATATGTGAATTTAAATATGCATAATCGTTCAACTACATTTTAAGAAAACAATACATTGCCACGGCAGTTATAGCCTTATACTGCACTGTAAATTTTATTGAGAACAATTTTCTTTTGAAATGCAATTAAGCAATGAAACAAATAAAGTTGCCTCCTTTAACACTGCACAGGAAACATACTGATCCATAAATTCCCCTCTGTCAGAATTATAATCACTGCTCTATTCAATATTGAAGTGATCAGTCTTCCATTACCACTAAAGTTCATAGGCTTTAATATGAAATCTATTACATAAAATACCCTGAAAAAAAAGATCAATTTTCTTACTGTAGGAAATTTTCAACTGTTATAAACCACAATTTGCAAATAATCACAAGAATTGAATTGATAGGTTTGATTTTGCCCAGTTACGGAAAATACGAAGAGTAAGGATGCCTTATGGATATACGGTTTAAGTAGAAAGGATTTTTCATTACTGCTTCTGTGTGATGAAATCAATTAAAGATCTGTGCTGTGCACAAGTTATATATTGCAACCAACAATTTCAATTTTCATTTGCTAAGCAGAGAATAATGTTGATATCGAATATCAAAAACTGTAAACCGTCTAAGCAGAAATGAATAAATAACCCATGCCGTTGCAATATCAGACCTTACACTGCTGCTTCATAATTGTATAGATTATTTTTGATAACAGACCAGCTTCAATACAGCACTGCTCTAAAAAGGCTAAGCTTCATTTCATTACCTATTAAAATGAAATAACCAAAAACTCCTTGGCTCTAGCATCAGAACAGTACCAACAAGGTGAGTTTAATTCACATTCCAGCTGGTAGACTCAAGGCCTGTGAATGGAAAGCAATGGCAAACCACCACTAACTAAAAAAATGCCAAGAAATTGGCACAGGGTGAAGTATCAGCAGACTGAGTCAAGGACCTGCCTTCTGGCATTGCACATATGACAATAACATGTAAGGTTTTTTGAATGGGAGCACAGTGAAGTTGGGAACCGGGGCACAAATTCATTGCAGAATTGTAAAATGCATGCACATATCTGTAGTTACATGGTGAGCTCTTAATGGCAACCATGCTATTATAGTGAAAACCTGTGTTTATACACAAGGACGAATAATAAGATCTATTATCCCTAATATCCAAGAAACCAATGAAGGAGTACTAAAGATGGCCTTTAAAAAAAATAACCTCGACTAGATTCACACCCAAACCTTGGGGTTCAGTTTCTGGTACCAAATTCTCCTAGTACCGTTATTTTTGTATATTTCACTCTCAAAATGTGGTACAAATTGTCCTTATACAATGTATTTTTTTTTCATAAGTATTCTTATTTTACCAAGTTACAATACAACAATGCTAACACTCTTACTGCAGTGTTTGTGATCATGTATTTCCACACCTGCAAATGTGATATGGTTACATTGTAGAGGGTGCAGATATTTACCAGGATGTTGCCTAAGCTGGTTTTAGTTATGAAGACAGTTTGGGTAGACTGGGTTTAGTTTTCTTGAACCAGAGGAGACGGAGGAGGGACATGATTGAGATGTATAAAATAGTAAGGGGTACAGAGAGGAAGACACTTTTCCCCTTGGTAGACAGCTTAATGACCAGGGGCATAAATTTAAAGTTTGGGACAGGAGGTTTGAAGGGGATGTGGTGAAAAATGATTTCACCCAGAAGGTGGTGAGAGTCTGAAACTCATTGCCTGTAACGGTAGTAGAGGCAGGAACCCTCTGGGCAAATAAAAAAATACTTAGATGTATACTTCTGATGCCAAGGCATACAAGACTGTGAGTTATGCGCTTGAAAACGGGATTAGCTAGGTAGTTGTTTTTGACCAGTGCTAACTCGATGGGTCGAAAGGCCTTTTTCTTCACTGCAAACCTCCATCATTCTGTAAGCACACCGTAAAATTCAAGGGACATTTCCGACTCTTACATTTTTTTTTAAAATCTAGAACAGCAATCCAGCTAGGCCCCGTTCTCTTCAGGTGTTTATTCAATATCTTCAGAAAGCCACAACTAAACCTATCAGCATTCTTTGCAGGTTTGCATTCCAGATCATAACTGCTCCCTGGATAAAACGAATCTTTTCCTCATTTGATCGTTGGCTCCTTGCCAATCAGCCTTCTTTGGCTCTTAACCCTTCCACCAATGAGAACATGTTTTCCCTACTCGGTTCAGAGCGCCTCGTGATTTTTACTACTAAATTAAATCTCCTCTACAACTCTAATTTAACACTGTTATTCCGCAGTACGTTGTTGTAACAAGATAAAACAAAGAACTGCGGGTGCTGGCGCTCTGAAACAAATAGCCGGAGAAACTGAGCAGGTTCTAGCTCTGAGGAATTGTCACCGGAATCGAAAGGTTTAATCCTTTTCTCTCTCTTCGCGGATGCTGCTGGACCCGCTGAGTTTCTCCAGCGATTTCTGGTGACATTGTCCTAAATTGCTGGGGACTGCCCAGTCAAAAAAAAAGTACGGTGGTAGCAAATAAGGTCATGACCGCACCATCCACCTAGAAAAAAGCGGCAGCGGCTAGTTAGTACATATGTATGACATTCTGGCTGATAACGCAGCTCCGTGAGAGTGTACTTTTTTTTTGGGTGGGGAAGCAAAATGGTGGGAAGCTGGCCGCTTCGTTACCGATTGGAAAAATATAGACAAGGTGCTGACAGCGCGTACCCGGTGTGACCAGCCACCCATTCGGGGCCACGCGCTCAGTTCCTAACGGATTCGCGTTCCATCGACAACAGCAAAACGGTTTCAGCACGCGCCACGCTCAGCGCGAGGTACACGCTACCCACCCTTCACGCATGAGCAGATACTGAGATTTCACACTTGTTTGATTTTTTTTTGCGGGCGGTGTATGAAACTGTGTGAAAAAAGTGGGAAGCCAATTTGCAGAGCCCCAACGCATGTTTACAGTTGTCACTTTCAAAACAAAAAATTAGGCAGCGACACCGGCGGTTATTTCACCTCTGCTCTGCCCGACCCACGCTGCTGAAACGCAACCGCCCTGTTCTGTTTAAAGGATACGCTGCAGGTAGAAAGTGCCGTCTTCCTGCTCCTCCGACATTACTGCGTTGAGTTGCCGTTTACTCGCGTGCCGTTGCCATTGACACCGCCGCCGCTCTCGCGAATCCTCCTGCGAGAGTTCGCCAGCAGTGGGCGTCCCGTTGCTATGGGAACCACGCCCCAGACAGCGAGGAGAGATTCCCTCCCTCTCGCCTCAAACCCAACACCAAAATAAAAACTGAGCCATCCACCCCCACCCAGCAGGGGTTTATTTCTTGAGTCAAATGAATCAGACCCTTTTATAAATTGAAGTTTTCACGAAAGAAGGAAAACACAATTCTGGCGTTCTGTTTATAAAATAATCCATTTCTACTGAAATGCGTTTATCTATTTTGAAATGTCCAGTCGAAACTGACGTCCTCCCATCCCCTTCTTTGAGGCAGAAGTGAAGAAAATGGCTTTAATAATCGGGATTCAGATGTCATCCGTTTATCTTTTTTTGAACAAAAATTAAAGGCAGCGGCAGCCTGTGGCACCTTCAGGGCGTGGATTAATGGTACCGGCCGGAGGCTGATCCAATTCGCCGAGGGAAATGCAGCTTTAGGTTCGGGGAGGTAAGAGATGCTGTATGAGTGATTTCAGTGAAGCCTTTACAGTTTAATTCTTGTCCCTAACTCCGGCCTCCAGAGGCTGTGCCCCTGGAGCGAGGATTTTCTAAAACCCCCCACCCCCCCCCTCTCTAACCCGGGGTTCAAACAGCAGCAACCCCCTCCCCTGGTATATGTGTCCCGCATTGTCAGTTGTTGCTTGCTTTTCAGAAGTTTTGAAGGATTGAAATGTTCGTTCCGTATTGCTCGCCCACGGCACCTTAGGCGGTTCCGCACTTTTGTTTACGTTTAAATGAAAGGCATCCAGTACCAATAATATGCAGCTTCAGTCCCTCCCGCCCTCAGCTTCATTGGGTTGTCGCTGTTGTGGAAACGGCGAGGAAAGCAGGAAATGTTTATCTTAACGGTAGCATCCGCAATGTGCATCTACGTGTTTTATTTTCCAAATTAAAGAATTAGCACACCCGGTTAATTACTAATACTCGAAGCGAAACCCCGTTTCAGACTTTCCCCGTTTTTATTTCGGCTGCAGACTCCTGGCTCATTCTGTAATTACAGTAAGCGGGGAGCCTGCCGTCCGAAGTATAGATACGTTCAGATCCTTTTTCTTGACTACGGACCCTTAAACAAAAATGTGTAGCTGGGTATTATTACGTAGCGCACTGCAAATATTCAAGTGGAACTGCTTCCCGATATTAAAATTATCAGTTTTACTCAACGTAAAGTAAAAATTGATATTGTGTACAAGAATGTATTCCCAGATTGCATTTAATACAGCAAAAGTTAACACGGCTTCCTTCGATCCACGGAGGGGCAGTGTTCTCCGTTGTTTTGGCATACACTACTCTTTTTCCGATATGTAGTTCAACAAAGTGAATGGTCCCACTGCAACTGATTAGGATTTGGATTGATTTTATTGTCACTTGTTCCGAAATACAGTGAAAAGTTCTGTTTACGAACGGTACAGGCAGATCGCAGCAAGCAAAGAATATATAGATTATATTATTTGAGGCTTGAGTCCATTCACAGTCTGATAACGGCCGGAAAGAAGCTGTTTCTTAACCTGCTTGTATGTGTGTTCGGGCTTCTGTATTTGGTTCACTTTATTTGGTTCATCGTTTAATTATATTTCAAAAGAAAATTGTTCTTTATAAAATCCACGGTGTTGCAGTCTAAGCGTCTAAAATTGCTGTGGCAATATATTATTTTCTTAAAATGGAGTTGAATAATCATATATGTATTTAAATTCAAATATAAAGTTGGGTAAATACTCGAAATCGAAATATCTAAGCAATATCTCAGAATTTACGCAGTTCTTTTTCCCTAAAGGTTAAGTGAGCTTTATATGGGCTGCTTGTAGCTGGTTCTTGCAAGCACATTTGACTGCTGTTAATTTTATCTGAATCCTCAATCAAAGAATGACTCAGTTAAGGGCGCCTGACAGGCGTTTGCCAATTCTAAACGATGGCCGGAAAATTAATTTTGGGACTACAGGATTTTGTGATTGGTAACTTTCAATAGCGAAAATTAAATTTATTTATCCGCGTATAATAGTAAATAAAATCCTGAAACTGCTCTTGTCAAATTTGGATCACAGAATTGATATGAAGATATAGCCAATCGGAACCTCACTGCTCAAGAAGTTTTAAGGTTTTTTTCCACCTACAAGTTTCCTGTCTTTCGATGTGTAGATTGGTTAACTGATAGCAATAATTTTCAACATTTACCGTGAACTCGACACTGCAATTTTTTTTCTGTCAGAATATTGTAAGACTGAGCTATTCCTATTCTTCGATGCACCCTATTGATTAATTGTGTGGGCGTCCGAAGCGGAGTAGTTAAAACTTTTATGTATCCAGTTAATGATCGCAAATAGTAATCTGCTACTGTATGTGTTCAAATGTCAAACCTCGGTCTATGTAAGGGACTGTGGAGGTGGAAGTGGTTTTTGAAACTTTTTTTAACCAAATAACAAAATATACGTTTAAAAAGTTAAAGGAACGTGTAGGTTGCTCCTGCTTTAACAATGACTGCATTAGTTGAAATTACAATTACAATAAACAGGTGTTATTATAAGACCGATGAAAAAGATGAAAGTACATTTGCCTACTATTTTTCAAAAACAGTTGAAATGCTACCCTGGCGCTACTTTTTTAAAATTTGGAATTAAAATAATGCTGGTGGAAGTATTGTCAAGTGTAGTATGGATCTATTGAAATGTAGGTAATATGGAAGGTCCTGGTCACCTGTCTCTCGATTTAACGACGTCTAACTCGGGATCGAGAGTTTCTGCCATCAGTCTTTATGACTGAAGAGGTCGATTCTCAACCCACATTTTTTTTTTGAGCATGTGGAGGAAGGGTATCCTGGGATCTGGAATGCAGGATTTCCTTTCTTTACATTCCCTCTGTACTACTGCCTTGTCGCATTATTAAGGCTTTTGGACTCAAAAGTGTAATACCACTTGATGGGCAAGTTGTCACCATTTTGAATGGTAGTAAGCTGGTGACTAGTCATTAATGACAGTGCTGCTGCATTTCAGGGAGACCTTTAGAGATCTTTGTCTATCTGTCCCCTTCGTCCTCCCACAACACAGCCAACTGAAGAATTGAAAATGCAAGGCTTGGCAAAGAGGATGCTTTTCAAGCATCCAAACAGTGTCCAGTTCAGATTTGTCATGTAATACAAATTGGAAAAGGAAACAAAGCTTATTAAGACAGACTCAGATTCAGCATTTTAAAGGAGAGTTGGAAACTGTGCATAAGCATTGTCAAACTTGTGACTGATGACAATGAATGCCTTTCCAATTTTTCATACCAATAACACACTTGAGTTGATGTGGTCGAGGCAATTTACATCCATTTTACAAACTCTACTTATCAATTTATATCTTCGTGTATAGCCCACTTCACCACAACGGTTCTTACTAAAGCTTCAGTAAAACTAGTTAGGTCCCTATCCCACTCCCCTATTCTATGAAACTACCAATTCCATCCTCCAAAATGCACTTCTCGTTCAATATGTGCACACTTTGTTCTTTTATTTGTTCGGATTTATATGATGGCAACATTTGCAGCACACTAATAGAAGAAGGGCTCTAATCTGGGAAATTTAGCATGTGATATTCAACTGATATGATGCCTACTTCCATAAGAGATTCCAACAATCAATTCAGTATGGCATAGTTATCAAGTGCACAGTGAGCATAGTTTACAACTTTGACCTCCCAAATGTCGCTGCAAAAAGTAACAAGCCAACCATTGAAAAAATCCATCAACAATGTCCCTCACATGTCAGGAGTCAAAACTGTAAGCTGCACTGAGTGAGTGATAATAAGCTGAATTTTACATTGCAGATGATCTCCCAGACACTATTCGTGGCTATGTACTGTTTTACTGGCAGGATATCCCCACAATAGGTAGTGGCACAGTGATATAAAGTCAGGCAGGAGTTGTCCTGAGAGTCCTTTAATATGGATCCCAGACTCTGTGAAGTTTCATGTCATCATGTCAAACCTGAGCAATGAGATCCCTGCTGAGCACCTCCTACCGCTACCGCTACCTCCCCTCTCAGCTGATGAATACTCTTCCAAACATAGAAAAAAGAACTGAAATCAAGGTTTTATTTGCTTATTCTTTTATAGGATATGAGCTGGCAAACCCAACATTTGTTGACCATTCCTAATTAGCCCTTGAACTGAGTGGCTTGCACTATTTCAGAGGGCGAGTAAGAGTCAACCACATTGCTGTGGGTTAAGAGTGCTATGTAAAGAAGGCACGTTTCCTTTCCTAAACATTGTGAATCCAGACGGATTTTAACCACAATCAATGTTAGTTCCATGGTCACCATTACTAAGGCCAGCTTTATATTCCAGATTTATTCATTGAATTTATGTTCCAAGAACTACTGTGATGGAGTTTGAACCCTTAACCCGAATACAGCATTAGCCCGAGCCTTTGGATTATTAGTCTGGCAACATTACTATGCTTCCACTGAAGTGAAAGTAACTTTTCATGACATCAAGATAGTATTTGATCTAGTGTGGCATCAAGGAGCCTAATTAACCTGAAGTCACCAAATTCAGAGGGAAAACTCTCCACAACCAGCATCATGGAAAATACAGCACAGGAACAGATCTCAAGGCCCACCAAACCTGCACCATTTTCCTAATCCTTATTTAGACCAGATACTCATTGCCCATGCATGGTATCTATCCCTCTGTTCGCCTCCCATTTGTGTATCTGTCAAGATACGCCTTAAACATTGGATATGGTGGAAGCAGGCACATTAACACTGGCAGTGTGTTGTAGGTACCCATCACTCTCTGTGTGAAAAAATTTCCCTGCGCTTCTCCCCTAAACTTTCTCCTTCTCACCTTGAACCTTTGCCCTCTTGACCTTTCCACCCTGGTGAAAAAGCCTCTGAATATGCACCGTGTCCATGCGCCTCATAATTTTGTAAACCTCTATCAGTTTGCCCCTTAGCCTCCATCTTTCCAATTCCAGTGAAAATAGAAGTTGCTGGTAAAGCTCAGCAGGTCTAGCAGCATCTATGAAGAAATCAGAGTTAACGATTTGGGCCCAGTGATCCTTCCTCAGAACTCTAACAAGAGGAGTTAAAAGAGAAGTTGTTGAGGGTGAGGAAGAGCTCAGCAAAGCGGAGGAAGGTGGCAGTGGGTGGGGACGGTT